TTAGGGAAAAGCCTGTGTTTTTATTTTGTGTGGAGTTGAGAAAGGAGGTGGTAAACTTGACATTGCTTGCAAATGAAATGCACAGCTTGATCATTTTTTTCTTGGTATAATTTTTGTATTGGAAGATGTATAGTATATCTTGGCAGTGATAATGAATGCTATAACCATATAATCATTCTCTGAATGATTGGAATGGAAAGAAGTTTCATTTAAAATTTCAAGGTACTCAAATGGGACATGTCTCCGCATGTGTCTTTTTACTACAGGTAAACCCAGAGCACATGTGTGCTTATGGATGTGTGTGTATGTGTGTGTGTGTGTGTGTGTGTGTGTGTAACATGAATGTGTTCCTCCCTCTATGTTATATTGCACTATTAGTTTGAACTACAAAATAGAAAAGAATATAAATATCTTCTGAAGTCTAGATGCATCTGAACTCTGGATTCACCTGTTCTAAATGAAAACTAGAAGAGAAACCATTTTAGTATATGAGGTTTGGCCTGAGGAAGAGAATGGCACTTCTACAGTTCTTAGAAAATTCTCATACATGATCAGGATTACTGGCATGCTTGGGGAACAACTTACTGTGGATAGTTGAGTTCTTTAGTTTCAACTGGCAAATCTGTTTTGTTTCATCTTTTGTTTATAATATTTGAATTAATAAGAATTATTTTCAACTCCAAGAAGTAGTATATAGAGCAATGCTGTCTAGTAAAACTGAGTGGTGATGGAAATATTCTATATCTGTGATGTCCAGTATGGTAGCCACTAGCCCCATGTGGCTATTTAGCCTTAAAATGTGTCTATTATGACTGAAGAATTGAATTTGAAGTTTTATTTAATTTTAACTTATTTACATTTAAACAGCTACACAGGACTATCATATTTGACAGTGCAAGTATAAAGTATAATTACCAATTAATGTATGTCTCTGGTTTGAAATATTACACTGTGTTATCACGCTACATATCTGAATTTTGATTTGGAGACTGTGAAAACCATTATTGTCTTTGATAAGTGAAGTTTACTTCTAGGTAATTCTTTGAACATCTGTTCTCAATTCCTGCTATTAAGATAAGTGATTGTGGAAATACAGTCTGGAAATTAGTTTGTTAGCCTGTATTCTTCTTTGCTTTTGTAACAAATGAACTGTGAGGATTTTCTGGTTAATTGGAGTTGTTATTTATTGACATTGAGCTCCTCAGTATGATTCAGACCCAACACCATTTAACATAGAGAGAATAAAGTACATTATAGCCAGCTTAAAGCGCAAAAGAAAAATGAGATAATTTATGAGTTTTTGGTCAGCAATAATTCAGGTGTTTATTTAATCAAGAGAAAACTCATTTAATATGAAATCTTACTGCAAACCCAAACTATTGAAGAGTTTGGGGCTTAAACCTTTTATTTTGCTTATGACCAACCTGCCCTTTGAAACCAGTCAGCCTCCAACAAGATTTCTGCAAGAGCAGCCTTAACTGTCATTTCTCTTTTTTTTTTGTTTTATGTATATTGTTTCCAATTCTTCTTGCTTCACTTTAATAATGCTCATCTCTTCTTTCTTGTTTGGATTGTACTGTGCATTTTTGTTTCTGCTAAGTCCTCTTCTTTTTTTCTCCTTCATTCTTCTTTGGTCAAAATGTTTCTCTGCCAAATCAAGTACCTGTGAACTGATTTCTACTCGGAAATTACCTGAAGGGGATACACCAATAATCCAAAGGTTACATCCAAGAGAATTAAAGAAAGAAGGTGTGTCTGGACTGAAGCAGGAAAAAAAAAGGGATAATAAACTTTAAATTTGTTTTGTTGATTACAGAAGTAATTCATGTTTATTGCAGAAGAATTGAATCTTCACATAAACAATTACATTTTCTTGCTAGTTTTTTTCTGTGCATGTTTATGTGTACATGTCTAAGCCATTTACATGTTATAGTCATGTATGACATTCATATATGACATACAGTCTAGATCTTAAATTTTAATTTATCACACTTTCCCCACTAATGCATTTTCTTTTAAAGCACACTTTTTATCACAGTATTCAAGAAAATTTAAGCTAGGTTCAATTTCTTACTGGTATAGATAATACTGTAATTAATATCTTTGTATATATCTACTTGTGCATTTTTGATGAATGTCTCAAGGTAATTACTAGACATGTATTTGTGCTCTGGAAAAGTTATGCATATTGAAATCCTCATCAACAAAGAGTGAATGAGAGCAGAGCACAATTTAAATTTTTTAGTGACGTAGGAATGGTTATTGTGAGATAAGAGTTTCCTTGAGATGGTTTACTCAACTCTGTTTTTCAAGAGTTCATCACTTTAGCTTAATTCCAAACATGGTGCAAAGCATTGTAAATAATCTGATTTTACTTTTTTTTTTTTTTACCAATTTAAGTATTGTATACATATAATTTTGGGTTTATTAGTACATTTATGATCAGTATTGTTATTCAACCTGGACTTTGAGTCTTGGTCATTAATATCTTGTAATTTTTTTCATATTAATTCAAATACCTGTAACACTAGGCAGTTGACTAAGCTTGGGTTTGAATAAATTAGAAAGGCTTTGCTTTATTCAATTTATATCACCTTATGTATCACTGTATAGTGATAGCCACCTACATCTACATGTCAGAATTTTGTCAGTGGCAGCCATTTTCCAAAGCTGGGGAGTCTGGAAATAAAATAGTCTCAAAGTGACTGTAGAACTTCCAGAATAACAATCCCAAAACCAGTGCACTTCATTTGTTAGAAAGAATATGTCTACAAAATAAGCTACATATCGGAAGATGTAGGTATACATTAACAAAAGGAAGTGATAGCCAAGAGGAGTAATGAACAAAACAAGAGACCAGTTAAAACAGGAATAAGAATATTATTTTCTGTGACTCTCCAAGACAGCACACTTCATTGATGAGTATTTATAAGTCTTATTTCAGACCATTGAGGAGATGCTATATTGTGATTAACATATGTTCTTTAATGTGCTAGAACAATGACCATTGTAGAAAACTGTCATGAAAATGATTATATTGAAAGCACATTTGGAGATTTAATAGACAAATTTTAGTTTTTTATCAGATTAACTTAGGCAGTACATATCAGTTCATCGTGAATAAGTCTTCAGAGTCCAAAGCCTGACATTTTTCTTATAATTCAAAATGTGATTTGAATTATGGTTATATATAAATCTCTCTCTCTCTCTCTCTCTCTCTCTCTCTCTCTCTCCCTCTCTCTCTCTCTCTCTGTGTGTGTGTGTGTGTGTGTGTGTGTGTGTGTGTGCACGCACACACACACAGAGACAGAAAGAGGGCATAAATGGTTAGGGTTTGGGCATTAATGGTTAGGGTTTGGGCATTGATATCATGACTTAGTAATCAGCTAGGACACACAATCCGTCTACAGCTAAATAGTTCAAGAGTTGGTTAAATTTCTGGCACAGTGATGCCATCAAGAACCTAGGGGCTTTCCATCTTTCTGCTTGCTCCTTCTGTTCACAAGATGACAGGCATCACATTCTCAAACAAATAGATGTAAAGACAAACGGCGCTTTTTCCTAGTATGTATCTGTGCATTCTAATTAGAGGGAAGTCTTTTTCCCAGAAGCTCCTCTTCTCCCAGGAGACTTCCCCTTGGCCTCATTCAGTGTTCAAATTCCGCCATAACCCATCCCTAAACCAATCACCAGCAAGGGAAATAGCGTTATAGTAATTGATGCCATGATTGACATGGAGGAATGAACATTTGCTTTCTGGGGCGGAGTGGGGACTTATGGCTCCTGAGCTGGTGGCAGGCTGAATGCTGGAATTGATTCCAGCCCTCCCAACAAGGAAGGAGTGGTGGGTAAAGCTGTTGGACAGCTAGCCTAGGATATTTGCTATATTAACCAGAGTATTTTGACTGTAATTCTGTTATAGTATTAATACCATTTGGCCTTTTAAATCATTATTTGTGAGCTTATTTTATCCCTTCGGTGGCTTCTAGATTCCTTAAGAGTGGGACATACTATGTTCACAAGCACATGGAGTAGTGCCTTGCCCTAGAGTATGCTTAATATCTATTGACTCAATTGATTAGAGTTGGTCCATGCCAATTGATTAAAAGCTTTTCTACCTTTAAAAATTGATTCTAAACTCTTTAAAATCAAGTTATTTGTTTGAATATTGACATGCTTCCAGTAAAGTTATGTTTGTTCATTCCAGAAAATGATTAAGGGGCCTTAATCATAAAGGTACTGGAATAAAGTTACCATGGGTGTGTGTAGTATAAACCCTGGAAAGACTGTTTACAATTCTGTGTGGGTGTAGGAAGAAAAAAGGATTCAAATATAAATATGAGTGGGAAATAAAGCTTGTTTTGAGTCCATTTTATGCATCTGTTAACATTTTAAAGACTATGCAGTACAATTTATCATCTTAAAGATTATGAGGTGAAAGAAATGACTTGTATTTAAAATCACTGCAATTATCTATTTGAAGCTCCATTAGTAGAATTTTTTGGGAAAACAAATTACTTGAATACTTTCAAATTTAGTACATTATTATGCATACCACATAATTTCATTTAAAAATCTCTGTCCATAGAATGAGATCAAAAGACCAGATTTTGATTGCCAATGTTGTGTGAAGTATAAAGTCAGTATTCCATGTCCTAATTTGTTTTATAATATAAACATTTTTCAAAAGTTTATCTTTTTTAATGTAAAGAATTTTTCATATAAACTTCCCTTCATTTGGTTCAGATTTCAGTGATTGTACATGTTCATAAATTTTCATTTTACCAACTGTTTTAACTGATGTATAAACTTCCTTTTTCAAAAAAGATTTGAGATAGTATAAATTTTCTCTAAAAACAAATATAGTCCTTTTTTGCTTGCCAAATGGTGAATTTGTGTGACTAAACGAGCAGTTCGTTCCTTATTCAAGAATATCCATTCATAATATATTGTCTCAAGTGAAAGGAAAACTTAAGTTTCATTCAACACAAAGACATGAATGATTTTTAAAGCATTTTATTGTCTGCTAATGGCACTTTTTTAGTTACAGAATTTGCTAAGTTAAGTGATTATAATCGAAAATCATTGTGTTCTTGTGTCATTCCTGAAAGCAACTGAAGTATTTTTCCCCTCTCATATTCTCATCTTTTAATCCTGAAAAAAATAGCAAAAGGAACAATTAAAATAATTTACAAATGTTCCTAGTAAGTACCATTTACAAAATCATGTATGCCTTCAGTTTTGTCACAACAATGTGCAACCATTTAAGTTGAACTCTACAATTTCCAAAGTTTCTTTGTTATTTCGTTGTCAATAAATATTAGATGTCCATGAGGGCTGCTTCCACCTTCAGGACACTTAAAGCCTATTATTTTATAATAACAATTGCGACCTTTTTGGGGGGACTTCTTGCATGTCAGGCTCCAACCTTATCACACTATTTTGTTTTCCATAAAATAACTCTAAGAAACTATCAATGTTTATACTCAAATTTGACACAAAAAGAAACAGTTTTAAAGAGTTCAAAGTATCTACCCAAAATCACCTTTCCATATAAATAGCTTTGTCAAGATATGAGCACATTATGAAGTTCATGTGTTAATTATTAAGAAAGAGATAAATAAATGCATTTTCTATGCACAGGGAGAACACATACCTTAGACTAGAATAGCCAATGATAGGCACCAGATTACTTGGGATTCAATCAATTTTCAAAAATTCTGCCCCATATTTTCCATAAACATGCTCACAATTATAAAGCCATTTATGACATATTATGATTTTTTAAATTCAGCAACTATGGTATCTATAATTAGATAGAGACTTAAAAGTGATCTGATTTTGTGATCTTCCCCCATTTAAAAGAAAAGAAAATACCCATACACATTTGAAGTAACTTTTACAATACTGTCTATTCTTTGAGGGCAAAGCCAGAACTGGAACTTAGGTGTCCTGGCTTCTTATCCTGGTCATTTTCACCTCAATTCTCTCTGCTTATCAGAGTCAAATCATCGATAGTATGTATAAATTGGAATTACAGTTGGATACATATACATGATTGAATCACGTAGTCTCGTACACATAGCAATAAGAGTTTGTGGATGTAGATTAAGGTTGTTTTGTTGACTATTCCAATTCATTTGTAAGAGCTACCTGTAATGGAAGATTTAGTGCTAAATTGCAGTAACTTCTAGCTAAAAGCTTACTCATCTATACAATCCCAGTCCAAAAAAAAAAAAAAAAAAAAAAAAAAACCTAACAGTGTGTTTAGCCTCCTCCAAGTTAGATTGAAAACTGCTGGAAACAGGAAATCTTACTGTATGTTTTTGAAGAGATTTCCCATCTCCCTTTTGTAGTTTGTTCAGATATTTGCACTCTCAAAATTACCTGCTGCCTCTTTTCATAAGCCTTCAGTGCAACTTTAGCCTATTCTTACTAGTCAAACTTTTGAAATATAAGGAGAATTGATAGTCTCTTATACTGCTGCCCTTAAACTTAATAGGATTTAGTAATATACATTTCTATAAATGGGTTTTGGTAATATATGTATTCTGGTAGACATTCAGTAACAGTAAAATTGAAACCTGCCATAAAAACTGTGATCTTAATTACCAAGCCATTTAGATGAAAGATGTATTTGTTTCTAGTATAAAGGTGTAGCATATTGCTTGGACTAATAGACTCATATACCTGTAACTACTGCAACTCTAGAACGTTGGTTGTTTGGAGACCTTAGAACTCTGGGGCCAATTTTGCTGTACCATTTTCGCAGGATTTGCACTGTAGTAGCTACAAGATATACTCACCACTTCTTCCCGCTTGGTCTTGTCTGTTGCTGGCCAAGCTTCCAGAGGCAGATCAGGAAGCATGGGAGGCAGGGGCTGCATGGGGAACATCGGAGGCAGAGGTGGCTGTGGCGGCAGGGGCTGCATGGGGTGCACAGGTGGCTGGGGCTGCATGGGCTGGTGAGGCTGTGGCTGAACAGTCTGGGGCTGGAAGGGCTGCTGGGCGGGCGGAGGGAGGTTTGGCTGATGGTGTTGGGTTGGAATCATGGAGTGTTGGCCAGGAACGGGCATCATTGGTTGCTGGGGGACCACGGGCTGCTGAGCTGGCACCACTGGGATGTGGTGATGAGGCTGCAGGGTGTGAGTCGGGGGGTGCTGTTGGGACAGCACAGGGATGATTTGGTGGTGCAGCCATCCACCCATGGGCTCGTAACCATAGGAAGGGTACTGGTGAGAAACAGAGAGGCAGGTTTACCATTGGCTCAGGTGACTCCAACCAGAGAAGCAGCAGTGTTTTCTTTATCATTATGGCCATAGGGATATTTTATTCATTTTTCCTTTGCAAAAATTTGTAACTATGTACAAAGATATGATTTTTTTTTTACAAACTAAATTTCCTCTTAGTGCCAGTATGTGGAGTAGACATATTTCACTTAATATGGGAATTTAAATGCATGCCTAATATTTTCAGGGAATAAAGAAGGAAATATCTACGTACCGCTGGCCTTATCATGCTTTGGTACCACTTCAAAGGGGTAAGCACCTTAAGAGAAAGAGATATTAGAATACATTTGATTTCATTTACTTTTATCCAATATAGAGACTCACTGATGCAGTACGAAATATAGACTCACTAATCCAGTCCTGTCAATATTAATAGCCTGAGAATGTGAGTTCTACAAAAGAAAGAAGAAGGTAAACATTTGTCGGGTGCTTCCTATGTGTCAGGCACTGTGTTTACATCCATCACACAGATTCTTCATGAGGCAAGTATTATTACTCTCACTTTGTAGATAAGGTCATGGGGAGTTAAAGAGGTTCATTAACTTGACTGAGGTTTCAAAGAGAGTCAATCTGTTTAATTCCATAGCTCCTACTTTTCATTGTAAGAGCAAAACAAACACAAAATTATGGCATATTAATATGACCTGATATTAATTTCATTTTTTCTTTGATGTCACAATGGGCCAAAGGAGGTATAAACACTGTCCCTCATCATAGGAACACAGATTTACTGATCAAACTTGTCAATCTCTTAGGTTTAACAGAAAATCTTACCTCAGATTCTTGCTAACATTTGTCTTCAGCTTTTATAAGTAAATAAACACAGATTTTTACCTGGATCTGTGAGGGGAGTAAGAATTCTATTCCTTTCTGAACAGTGTATATACTTGGTTAACCTTAGGTTTGAGGATTCTTTATATGGTAATATGGCATTTAATTGATACAAAAAAATAGTAACTTTGCTCATATTATAGTTGACAAAGCACTTTTCATATCTGTTAATTATATTACTCTCCAAACAATATTTTGAAATATTATTATAATCATTTCCTTTCTCCAGATGAGGAAACCAGGGTTCCAGAAAAAGGAAATGAATTGCCCAAAGTCACACAGTTAGTAAGAGATTGAGGAGAACCTCAAACCTGATGTCCCAAAACTCATGCATTTCATTGTTCTGCAGAATCTCTCATATACCACTTAGTCAATAATATTTCAGCAGAGCCAAATGAGAGACACATGTACAGTGTGACTATCTTAGAATCAGAAGTTTGTTGAGCTGGAAAGAATCTTAAATAACATCTTACCTAATCCTTACATTTTACTAGCTGGGATAGAACCAAGCTGGTCAGTCAGAGTTGACTTTTTGCCCTACCATAGAGCCTCCCTGAGCAGTGGTTCATGATGGGTAAGGTCACAGTCATATTTAGGAGGAGAGACTGAGTCAGAGTGGCCAGGCAGGAGGGTGCTGGGACAACACAGGCTTGAGGCCAACCGTCAAGAGCTTAAACTGGGAAGCTGGTGGTAGAAACTGTAAAATCAGGGCCACTTGAGAAACATCTGGGATGAAGAATCAACACACTATTCTTTACAGAGCCCAGGGCACTGTTAACGCAAACAATGGTCAAAATTAGTAAAGAGAAAAATTACCTCATAGCTGAAGTTGATATAACCAGGGTGCCCAGGATGAGGTGGTAGCTTTTATAGGGAGGAGGAGAGAAGAACAGAAAGAGAGAGGAAGGGAGAGAGTGAAGGAAGGGAAGAGAGAGGAAGAGATTAAGTCAATATGCAATTGTTCACATTAAAGGAGACTGAAGCTACTTTTTAAAAATTTATATAGTGTAGAATATATTTGATATCTGTTTTTAGTTTGGACAAATGTACCATGTAGAATAGGAGACCTATGAGTTTAAAGAGACCCAGAACAGCTAAATGACTGTCCCTGGGGTTATAGTCTTATGGTTGGAGACCTGGAAGCGGAAACCAGCACACATTTACTCTCCAGTGATCTTTGGACAACATCCCACCCCCACCCCCAGTGTTGTCAATGAATCCTACTCTATTCTGCCCAACAGTTTACTTTCTGATCAAACTCACCCCATGTTGAAGAGAGAAGTATGCTTCTCTTATACAATAAAGAAATATCAACAAGGAGAGAATTGTCTCACAAATGTTCCCTTGTAGATCAGGAGGTGGTCAAGTACTTTAAATATCAAAGGGATTTCTCATATTTGACATGCAAAGTAAACAACACATCCATACACCAAAAGAACCCACTAAAGAAACCACAAGGTGGGAATTACTGATGAATGCCAGAACAAGATGGGTGGAGCAAAGTGGAAACATTATAAATCTTGTGGAAAATGAAAGAATTGATTTATGATGTTTAGGCCAATCTTTTTTATTATTCTGCCAATGGTTTTATAGCAGAAAAATTTTAAAGTTAGAAATGCCACCTGAATGATCTGGATCAAGGCTGTCTATCCTCTCAAAAGTGGGGACCAAGTATCTGGTGCCTGCATTGTGGAACTCTGGTTGTGTCTGGGGTCCAGGTGAGGGAGAGGAGAGACGGTCCTACAGAAAATCTCCCTCAGACATTGGCCTCATTTAGGATTGGCTCTATTATATTCTTTTAAAATGCTTGCATTTCATACGAGGGCTTATTCACTCTCATCTGGATGTCAGTGGTTTGAGTCAGGTCCTATACCATCTTGATTAATACCATCTTAGAGAGTAGGAAAAAGGCTGATTTTGTAATGCAGGGACCCCTCAAGAAACTAGGAATTACCGCAATGCAGGATTTCAGGAAGTCAGAGCACAGAATCTTGGTTTTGTGGGTGAGAGAGGAAGAGAGGAGGCAGGTGTGCAGGCTTGCTGGCTTCTGGTTGTATCAACTGCTCTTTATGCTACCAAAAAGCAGATGCAGCCTGCTTGGCATGCATGTGATCTAAGTTTTCTGCCCTTATGCACCTGTGTCCAGACAGAGTAGATCTGGCGTCCTGATCTTTAATACATTTGAATATAAAATATAACACTATGTATTGGGTGTAGGCAGGATCCCGGGCAAGAAAACCACTTACTTACCAGATGCACCCAAAAAGGTGGGGACTCTGAGAACAGGAAGATGGCTCAAGAAATGGATTCCTAACAGAAAAATCTTACCCCCTGAGGGGTAACAATAACAATATGTGGAGGGCAGGAAGATATTTGGAAACTTGAGAGGAATTGGTTTTAGACAAAACTGGCATCTCTGTAATATTTGCCCAAAGCTGGTGAAGCACTTTCTCTAGAGACCTTTCAAGGCTCCCTTCCAAAAGCTTCCTCCATCTAGAGATGGGTGGTGATACATACAAGCTAATGGTTTCAACAGAATCTCCTGTGGTACTTATAAAAATGCAGAGTCCTGGGCCCCACCCCAGCTGTACCAAATCAGAATCTTTGCTGGAGGCATTTGAGAATCTATCTTTTTAAAACAAGCTCCTGAAGTGTTTCTTCAACCCAGAAATGTTTGAAGACATCTTATCTCATACTGTTTTAAACCCTAACTTCACCAACCATGGGGCAGACTTTTATTGCTAATCTTATGAAATTGGACACTGACTTATGCAAGGGGTTTTACTCACAGGCATGGCAAAAGCTGCTCCCAGGAGGCAGGCAAACAAAATCCAGGTCCCCATTTCTTGATGGTTCTGAAATGTAAGTCAACATCCACTTTTCTTACCTCTTCTGAAACATGGACTTAATGAATGCTCCATAAAATACCCATAATCTGTATTAGTCTACTGCTAGTAAGAAAGATGGAGCCATTCTTTGTGTATTTACTTCAGTTGTATGTGGTTTCAAGCTCTCGGCCTATTTCACTGTTTCTGGAGTCACAATAGTGATAAAGTTACATTTAATTTAGGTTGAGGGCTGAACAAGTTACAGGGACATGAATGATCTATCCTTATATGACTTTGCGTGCCATTTTCCTATGCCTATACAGCCTATAGTCTTAGAAGCTAAATGGTATTTATAATTAATGATTAAAGGAATAAAGTTGGCTCTGAAGGATGGGAAAATCATCAAAGTGCATGGTATTTTATAATTTCAGAGCAAGGAGGCACAGAAAAGTATCCTTCAGAGTCTCCTGGGGCATTACTACTGTTAAAAACTAATCATTTGAGAAAGCTATTAATTTGCCAAGATAGTAGATTTTAGTTCCAGAAATTCCTATCTATAGATCTTCAGGTAAGACACTCCAGCAACATCTCTGAGCTCCAGATTGTGGAGCAAAAGATATGGCTGAACCAACAGGAGAGGATGGTACTAATTGTCTGTGATTCTTTAATAAATTTTGAATAATTTCTCCCTAAGAGGTTCCATTTTCTGTCAATGAAATCTTCTTTTTGTTTGATGTTGCACTGTATTATTCTATAAGTAAGATCCTTGTTATATTAAGCAAAACAGGTCATCCTAAAATGTGGACATTGATTTATGGCACAAATTATTGACTAACTTGGAAAACCATCAGAAGAAAGACCTTAAATTTTGTATAGGAAGTGAATATTACATGAAATAATGCTTTCTATGAAAAGTACACTGAAATTATCCACCTCCTAATTTTTTTTTTTTTGGGTTTGGGTTAATGAGAGAAAACATTTCATTGATGGTTCTATTTTATGTAATTAAATAAAAAGCTTTTCAAAGTACTAGATCACAGCCTATGAAGGTATTCTTTTTACTTTAATCAGTAATTAAAATAAATATTTTACTGTGAAATGTGGCCCCAAAAGAGCTTTGGAATTAGACAAGCACTTTGTTGCATTAGAAAGTAAAAAGAAAAAAATCATTTCAGTAATAAGAATCTAATTTAATTATGGGCCGACTAAAAATTAACTGATGATGGCATATAGTATTAGAAATGTAGAATACATTTGTTTCTTTAAAAAACAATGCAGAGAAAGAAATAAGCACAATAAAAAGAATATCAAATTAGAAATAAAATCCACATACCTTTGAATGTATTCAGTGTAAGTTTCTGTTTGAAACTCAGGGATGCTTGATCCTTTAGATTTCTTCCAACTATGAGCTTATTTTATATCAGTCACAGCATCTAGAACAACCAATCCGGTTTCTGCAGGAAAAAATGTGTTGAGTATAACTAAAAATTCCTGTATCATGAATTTTTAGAAGCTATGATCAGACATAAGGTTGTATGTTGTGATTAGTTCATATGGAATCTTTCATTATGGGCAATAATAGGTTTAACAGGCAAGGAGTTTCATCAGGCTATTCTGAAGTCAGCAAATTAGTTGACTGCACATGTTGATATATTCAAATTTATTTTTAAGAAGCTGCTCTGCCATCATCCTTTCCTCAGTTCTAGCATACAACATTGTTCTTTACAAAAATCAAGCTAGGTGGTTGAGATTCTCTAGTGTAATCTGGATATCCTCAAGGATTTTTCCGGCCCTTTCAGATCAGGATAAATTGATTTAAATTCCCATTCTGGTAAAAATCCAAAGCTCTCTAGTATCTCTCTGAGGAATTATACTTTCAGGATCACCACTGCTCTATTTTCTGCTGAAACTCATCTACCATAAAAACGATCAAGAACTTAAGGTTCTTGCAGCAGCAAAACTTTTACTGATGATCTGAAGCACAAGGCAAGGAGTGCACACCAAACAGCACATTTAAAAGTATATTTTGTTCTTTACAAACAAACTCATGTCACAGGGGCTATTGTCCTGTCCCTCCCATCTCACAGAGCAACTCAGCCTCTCAGTATGGTGGCCTTCTTTGTCCATATCCTTCTGGCTCAACCTCACTTTCTCATACAGGCAAACCCAAATTCTTCTCTCTTTTTCAGAGCCTCTTATCTGTCTGGCTAGTTTCCATGTTCTCAGCAGCCTCTCCGTTCCCTAAACAATAACCAAAGCTATTCACTTTCTAAAAGAACGTGTGATCTAGCTATTAAATTTATGTGTCTTACCCCTCTACCTAGGTATAACATGTGTTTTTTTTTTTTTCTTTTATTCTGGAATTTGATCAATTAGATTGATGTAATTGAGCAAACTTGTAATTAGTGACAGGAGTTAACCGATGAGTTGTCCGTCAATATTATATCAATAAAGGAGATACTGACTATCTACCCAGATACAGTTGATGTTATACCTGAATCTCTTTGAATACTCAAGTAATTATAAAGTTTGTACATATACGTGTGTGTGTGTGTGTGTGTGTGTGTGTGTGTGTGTGTGTTTGAGACAGAGTCTCGCTCTGTTGCCAGGTGCCAGGCTGGAGTGCAGTAGCATGATCTCGGCTCACTGCAACCTCCACCTCCTGGGTTCAAGCAATTCTCCTGCCTCAGCCGCCCAAGTATCTGGGACTACAGGTGCATGCCACCACACTCAGCTAATTTTTGTATTTTTAGTAGAGACGGGGTTTCACCATGTTGGCCAGGATGATCTCGATCTCTTGACCTCGTGATCCACCTGCCTCGGCCTCCCAAAGTACTGTGATTACAGGCGTGAGCCACCATGCCCGGCCATACATATGTGTTTATATGTATATATACAAATTACTTAGCCTGTCTGAGCCTCAATTTCTGCATATGTAGATTGGGAATAATAATAGAACCTAGCTCAGGGAATTAGTGTGAAAAGAAGATGAGTGACATCTCTGGGGAAATGGGAGGTTATTTATTATTCTCTCCAACCCTGTCAGCTGGCATATGGTAAATGTTTAAAGAATGCTAATAAATAAGATGCCAAGATGATCTTCGGGGATAAATTAGTAGAGATGAATGTTGCAGAGAGAGAAAGGTAAGACCTTCCAATCAGGGAGAGAGAGATTGCAAAGAAGGAAATGGAAGATTATAACAGGCAAAATGTATACATGAAAACAAACATAGAATGTGATTCTAAAAGCCAAATGTGCCCAGGATTTGCATTTATTTATGAATATATTTATTTGTGAATTTTATAACAGAGACAAGAGAATTCCCTTTGAAGGAAGTTGCAAAATGGACCTTAGGATGATTGGCAGGGGTGTATAGCAAGGTGGTAAGGGAGAGGAAGGAAAATGTGGATCACATTATGTTTACTTTCAGTCTTTTCCCCTATTTTATATAATTACATATATTGGAGTGTGGGTAATCTCTACTAATGAAGTCATTGATTTATTGCTAGTAGTCTTGTAGTTTTACAAAGATTGATCTCATTACTTTTTCTTACCTTTTAAGAATGAGTGGATGATATATTTTGCCATAATGATCAAGAAGATGCTTCTTTAATGTGGCATTAATTCCTCTGGACCACTGGATAATGAGTTACTGCTAATTTACCATGTACAGTTGAACAAGCTTTGATGGCCAATTCTATAGAAATAATTGATTTTCCCCTACTGCATATCCTGAGTCATAGGACATTAAAATATGGATCTCTGTTTGAAATCTCTTCCACTAATTTAGGCCCCACTTACATAGCTTAAAAATTGCTGAATGTTTTTGAGGAAAATAAAATTTCAATTGAAATATTGTTCCTATAAGTGATGATTTATTAATAAATTGACTTCATAAAATCGTTATTTTGCTCATTTTTTGTAGCAGGTATTATTTTTCTTGACTTGCAGCCCATTATGTCTTGCTGTTCCCACAGTACTTATGCTAGCAATTTCTCCCCTTCTAATTTGCTGCTTCTAATTTATGGCATGCAAGAAAATCATATGCCCAAGCTTGTTAGAAGTGAGGGTGAACTGCAAGTAAAGGAACACTGTAAATGGGGCTGGCCTGGAAGGGCCTCACCTGGGAGAAAAGCAAAGGAATTTCAGTTTTGTGACATTTATTTTTGACTGCTGCGAAGGTGTTTGGTTTGTTTTGGGGTTCCCCTCGCCTGGCTTACTGCCTCGGTTTCAACAGCACTCAGCTTATGAGGGTGGTCTTTGGATAAGTCAGGTATTATGAGTTTGAAAAGCCTTTCTTATAATCTATAAGAGTTCAACTCTTGAGTCTTCTTTTAAAGCATGCCCAGGGTTGTCCAATATTCTAGAATAATTTCAACAGTAAGTATTCTTAAGTCACTGGAACCAAAGTTAACTTTTAAATATTTTCTCTGTAGATGTTTACTAAAAAGAAAACGTTCTCTAGGATAGTTTCTTGCTGGGGTAGAGTTGCAGTTGTATGCTCTTCAGATGTTAGACACAAAACCACCAATTAATTCCAATAAACATTGTAACTTTGACCTCGTTGCAACCCTTAGAAATCAGGTATTGTGTCTTATACTTTCTTGGCAGCTCTTTGGTACCTAGAAAAACAAAGTACCTGCTAGAGGAAAGTGTTGATTAATTGATGAAAATGTAGAAAAGTTATCCATGACGTTGAAAATATAGAAAAGATGGATTCTGAAAGAAATGCTACAGTGATTTAGATGGACCTTTTTAATAGCTAAGATGAATAATTCAGCATTGCTGTCAACTGCTACTGTGGACTTTTTGTGCAAATGACCTCTGAAAAGTACCTGAAATGGGAGATGCTGTAAAAGGGCTAGAATCTATTATCCTAATATCCTTATTACATTTGGCTCTGACCTCTTCGTTCAAATTATAATATACTCCAAGCAAATATACTGTGATAGATAAATTTGATTTTTTCTTATTTATGACTGAGTTTATTTGCTTACTATAATAAAGCTGTTGTTGTTGATGTTAGTTTACTGTGCTTCTAGAATAAATTTAGCCCTAGAGGTAGGGCACATAAAAGAAGAGGCAAATGCATTGTGATAGTAATTTCAGGTGGTGACAGGCTCAGCAAGCCATACATGACCTGAAAAGAAGAAAGGAAACTTAATAATGAAGCAGAAGGAAAGGAAACATCTTTGTAGTAAAGAGAGGTGGCCCTAGGGTCACCAGCCCCTGAGTAACATATTCCTCAAAGGTCAGAATTATGGTCTAACTTCAACAGCCATTATTAAGCATTTAGTGTATACCTCACATGAACATTGGCTTTGGAGTACAAAAAGGAATAGGACAGTGGTCCATTTGTCAAACTCACAGGGTCTAGAAGAATCTTCCACTCTGAGTTGTAGCAGAGAATGCTGGGAGTAAGTGTTGGGGCAAATTCTCCTTACGATTAGAAACCTAATACACTTTGTAGCCATATCTGTGATTGTGAACAAGAGAGGGATGAGGAGGGAGGAGAGAGAAAGTAGTGATACTGTAGTATATGTCAGTGGTTCTTTGGCTGAATCAGGAAGTTACATATTAACTGTATATAGGACCACTTCAGTCCTAGATGATCTGCTTCTGCAGTGATTGTGCATTAAATGACAGGTACACACTGAGTCATCAGGGAAAGATAACAGCCAGTGCATACTGCTTCAGAGGACATACAAAATAGAAATGTTGTTTGTTTGTTTGTTTGTTTGTTTGTTTGTTTGTTTGGACATGGAGTCTCCCTCTGTAACTAGGCTAGAGTACAGTGGTGCAATCTAGGCTCACTGCAATCTCTGCTGTCTGGGTCCAAGCAATTCTCCTGCCTCAGCCTCCCAAGTAGCTGAGATTGCAGGCACACGCCACCATGTCCAGCTAATTTTTGTATGTTTAGTAGAGGCAGGATTCACCATTTTGGCCAGGTTGATCTTGATCTCCTGACCTCATGATCTGCCTGCCTTGGCCTCCCAAAGTGCTGGCATTACAGGGATGAGCTACCATGTCCAGCCTATGAACTAACATTTAAAACAAAATATCTACCAATAGGGGACCTGATTTAAATCCATTATGGCACAGATAGCATTCAAGATGAGAATGTCACTCTGCATTTGTCGACATAAAAAGATGTTGGTGACACATCGTTGAGTGGAAAAATAGATTTTTGAAGGTCCCATTCTCTAATCTTTTCTCTCCCTCCCTCCCTGCTCTCCCTTATATTCGGGGAGATATTGACCAAAATGCTAACAGTAATTACCTAGGGACTCCTTCTTGAAAATTTCTGGGTAGCCAATATTTAAATTTATTTCTTTTAAATAATCTCTGAATACAACAAATCCAGGGAAACACAAGAAGTTTGGAGTATGGTATTTCTCATTCATGTTCAGCAAGTGAGATAAGTAAGTGATA